CCCCCCAAACCCCCAACTTCCCCCCCCAGACCCCAAACCCTCTCCCAAACCCCAAACCCTCTCCCAACCCCCAAACCCTCTCCCAAACCCTTGCGGACCTGCAGGGCGGTGCGGATGCAGGCCTCGAGGTAGTTTTTTTCGGGTTTGGGAGTGTAGAAGATCTCGACGGGGTGCATGCGTCCCGGGACGTTCAAAATGGGGGCCCCGTCGAAGTACTTTTGGAACTTTTCCGCGTCTAAAGTGGCACTCATAACCACCACTTTGAGGTCTTTTCTGCTGCCAACAACTTCTTTCAAAAGGCCAAACAACAAGTCCGTAGCCACTGTGCGCTCGTGGGCCTCGTCCAGCAGCACGGCGCTGTAGCGCTCCAGCAGCGGGTCGGCCATCGCCTCCCGCAGCAACATGCCGTCAGTCAAGTAGCGAAGAATGGTGCTGCTGCAGCTGCGGTCTTCGAAGCGAATGGTATATCCCACTTCTTGTCCGAGACTGACATCGAGTTCTTCAGCCACTCTCTGCGCCACTGACATGGCCGCCACTCTCCGGGGCTGCGTGCATGCAATGCAGCGGCCTGCATGCAGCCCCGCATGCAGCATGAACTGCGTCATTTGCGTGGTTTTGCCGCTGCCAGTTTCGCCCACGAGGATCACAAAGCGGTTTTTAGCCACCAACTTCAAAAAGTGCTTTTGGCTCCGCCACGCCGGCAGCTGCTTCCGCCCCTCCAGAATTCTGTAGTACCTGTCAGTGAAGGGGCGGCCGTTGAAGGGGTTAATGCCGTCGGGGGGCTCGGGGCCTCCTGTGGGGCCGCAGGGGCCGTTCGGGGCGTTCACTGCTGCTGCTGCTGCTGCTGCTGCTGCTGCTGCTGCTGCTGCCGTGCTGCTGCTGCTGCACGCCGCGCCCGCGGAACCGCTGAAACCCGAGGAAGAATCCACGCAACCCTCCTCGCTCCAGCCCCCAGCTCGCCGCCGCCGCGCCGCAGGGGCCTCCTCGGGGGCCCCGTACAGCGGGGCCCCGGGGGGGCCCCCGGGGGCCCCCGGGGGGCCCCCGCAGGGGGCCCCGGGGGGGGCCCCGGGGGCCCCAGCCACCCCGTCGTCGTCCCAACCCCGGCGGCGACGCCGCGAAGAAGAGTCCTCCCCTGCTGCTGCTGCTGCTGCACTCATGCTGCTCCCAACCCCACGCTACGCCTCCCCAGCTTCGTGCTGCTGCTCCTACTCCTGCTGCTGCTGCTGCTGCTGCTGCTTATGCTGCAAAGACAAACCTCGCCAATCCAGGCGCGCTGCAAGCATCGCCCAGCTTCCCCCAAACGGAGGCCAGCGCCTCTCCCCCCAGCTGCTGCTGCTGCTGCTGCTGCTGCTGCTGCTGCTGCCGCCGCGGCTCCTCCCGTCCTGCTGCCGCTCCCGCTGCCCCCGAGGCTGCTGCTGCTCCAAGTGCAACAAATCAAAGACAAAACTTCAAACTTTACTCAAAACTCTTTCCAAAATGCAACTTGCTTCCCCCACCACGCATGCGCGAGCAGCAGCGCCACCGCCAGCCCGGGCCCGCGCAGCAGCAGCCCCTGCTGCTGCTGCTGCTGCTGCTGCTGCTGCTGCAACCCCAACCCCACCCGCGACCCCTGGCTGTCTTGCAGCAAACTTTTAATGCACTTGCTTTTGCTTTTGGTTTTTATTTTCGTTTTATTTTCTTTTTTCCACCTTCTTAAGACTCGGGGGCATTTAGACACAACACACACCAGCGGGGGGCGCGCCCCCTGCGACTCCCTACAGCTCCAAACCCTAAACCCTAAACCCTAAACCCTAACCACCCCAGTTTGCCGCCTTCTTAGTGCGACACGCGTTTATTCGGGGAAATTCCGAGCCCAACAGTCTGCCCCAGACCTCTCGGCCCCCCAAACCCCAAACCCTAAACCCTAAACCCTAAACCCTTAACACTGGCATGCAATGATGGACGTCGTCGAAAATTCAGGGTCTTCTGCGCCCTTCTCCGCGCCCAGCAGCCTCCCCACCGCCAGCAGCAGCAGCAGCGCGGTGAACGGCAGCAGCAGCAGCAGCAGCAGCAGCAGCAGCAGCAGCGGCAACGAGTCCATTTGGATTGAGAAGTACAGGCCGCAAACCCTGGACGAAGTTGTGGGCAACGACGAAGTGCTGCAGCGGCTGCGCATAATTGCACTGGAGGGCAATATGCCCCATTTGCTGCTGGCCGTGAGTCCCTCCTGCTGCTGCTGCTGCTCTTGCTGCTGCTGCTGCCTGTTCCGCTGCTTTTGCTGCTGCTGCTGCTGCTGCTGCTGCTGCCTGTTCCGCTACTGCCGCTGCTGGCGGTTCTGCTGCTGCTGCTCTCTTCGCTGCTGCTGCTGCTGCTTCGCTTTAAGTAGCTGTTGGGCGCCACTGCTGCTGCGGCCCTTTGGGCCCCCCAGATACCCCGTGTGGGGCCCCTTGTGCTGGACCAGTGGTCCACTCAAGCCACACGGGTGGTCCACTTTATTTCTTTTGCTGCTTGGGTCTTGCTGCTGCTCTCTGCTGCTGCAAGTGCCTCCGTCTGTCCTTCTCGTGCTCTTCGCGAGGGTTTAGGGTTTAGGGTTTAGGGTCTGCCGTCCATTTTATGTTTCTGCCCCATTTATCTCTTTTTTATTTTTATTTTTATTTATTTTTATTTATTTTCTTTGTATTTATTTTCTTCTTTTGTCTGTCTTTTCGCTGCCTCCTGGCCACGGCTGCTTCCCAGCTGCTGCTGCGCTATTGTTGCTTATCGCCAGCAACCAATTGCTTCATCGCTCTCTCTGTTCACTATTTATTTATTATTTACAATTTATTATTATTTATTTATTTATTTATTCATTTATTTGTTACTGCCTGGCATTAAAAGTGCTGGAGTTCTTCTTTGCGCAGTGAGCGCCGTGCGGCCGTGGGGTGTATGTACACTTGCTGCTGCAGGGGCCCCCAGGCACCGGAAAAACCTCAAGTGTTCTTTGCCTAGCGAGGGCTTTGCTGCAGTCTCGGTGGCGCAGCTGCTGCTTGGAATTAAATGCTTCTGATGAGAGGTGAGCCAGGGTTTAGGGTTTAGGGTTTAGGGTTTAGGGTTTAGGGTTTGGGAAGCCACGGGCGTCCGCCCTGCTGCTTGCTGCGCTGCCGCCTGAAGTTGGCGCTAAGAGCAGCAGCAGCAGTGGCGGACGCGCAGCAACAGCAGCAGCAACACCGCAGGCAGCAGCAGCAGCAGCAGCAACACCACAAACAGCAGCATCGGCAACAGCACGAACAGCAGCAGCAGCACCACCGCAAGCACTAGCAGCAGCGGCAACACCGCAAGCCCCAGCAGCCACAACGACACTGCAAGCAGCAGCAGCAGCAAGACCACAAGCAGCAGCAGCAGCAGCAGCAGCAGCAGCAGCAGCAGCAAGGGGTGCTGGGGTGTGCGCAGGAGCATCGACGTGGTGCGGGATCGGATAAAGGCGTTTGCAAAAGAGCGAAGAGATTTGCCGCTGGGGCGGCACAAAATAATAATTTTAGACGAAGTGGATTCTATGACTGAAGCGGCGCAGCAGGTCCTCCAAACCCTAAACCCTAAACCCTAAACCCTAAACCCTCGCAGCCGAGCCCCGAAGCCCTCCCACCGCGGCGAAACCCGCACCTTTGCCCTGCAGCACACTGGAAGCTACTGGCAGCTGCTGCTGCTGCGCCAGATGCTGCTGCTGCACCAGATGCTGCTGCTGCACCAGATGCTGGGGATGCTGCTGTACCAGATGCTGCTGCTGCACAAGATGCTGGTGATGCTGCTGCACCAGATGCTGCTGCTGCAGCGAACGGCTCGGCCTAGCGTTCCGCTGCGCAGCAGCAGCAGCAGCAGCAGCAGCGTGTGCTGCAGTTTGGGGTGTACGTACACCGCAGGCCCTGCGGCGCATCATGGAGCTGCACAGCGACTCCACCAGATTTGCTTTGGCTTGCAATTCTTCTTCTTCAGTTATTGAGCCGCTGCAGTCCCGCTGCGCCATTCTCAGATTCACGAAGTTGTCGGACGCCCACGTAGGGTTTAGGGTTTAGGGTTTAGGGTTTAGGGTTTAGGGTTTGGAGCTGCGTGGTAGTAACTGCAGAGCTGCGATGCCGCAAGTGCAGACAGCCTCAGGCGCCGGGGCCCGGGGCATTTGCGGGTTGGGGTTTAGGGTTTAGGGCTGAGGGTTTGGGGTTTAGGGTTTAGGGTTTAGGGTTTGGGGTTTCCGCGCAGCTGGTGCAGCGGCTGCGAGAAGTCTGCGCTAAAGAAGACGTCACCTTTACAGATGATGGAATTGAGGCCATTGTGTTTTCAGCGGACGGAGACATGCGCAGCGTAAACCCTAAACCCTAAACCCTAAACCCTAGCGTTTGCCTGTGTGGTTCTGCTTTGGAATTTTCTTGTTCGCGGCCCCCAGATACCTTTTCAAATTGAGCCTTTAGGGTTTAGGGTTTAGGGTTTAGGGTTTCCGCGCAGGCTCTGAACAACCTGCAGTCAACTGTGTCAGGATTTGGTCTCGTCAACAAAGAAAACGTTGAGAAGGTGGGTATTCTTATAGTTTTTAGGGTTTAGGGTTTAGGATTCAGGGTTTAGGGTTTAGGGTTTAGGGTTTGGAGCTGGCATTTGATGGCGTTTCAGGTATGCGACACGCCGCCTCCAGAAATGCTGCGGCGCATAATGCAGCAGTGCGTGGCTGGGGACTGGTACGGGGTAAGCTGTTGTTTTAAGGGTTTAGGGTTTAGGGTTTAGGGTCTAGGATTTAGTTCCCAGTAATATTTTTAATACTCTAATTCCTATTATTTGTTTTTCCTTCTATCTAGCCCGAATCCTAGGCCTGCCACTTCTCTTTGACTCCTGCACGGGCTCGCTGCCCTCGGCTCCCTTTGCTGCCTGAGGTTCAGGGTTTAGGGTTTAGGGTTTAGGGTTTAGGGTTTGTGTGCAGGCACAGTCAGTGGCCCGAGTCATCCTCAGTCTCGGCTATACCCCCCTTGACGTCGTCACAACTTTCCGCGGAGTCCTCAGGCGTGCGGACTCTGAGCTTCAGGAGCATCTGCTGCTCGAGTTCTTGGGGGTGAGGGTTTAGGGTTTAGGGTTTAGGGTTTAGGGTTTGCGGCTGACTCACTCGCCTAGCAGGCGCGAGCCCGGTGAGGGCAACTGCAGGGTTTGGCCCCTAGGGTTTAGGGTTTAGGGTTTATAGGGCTACAGCAGCTGCGTGCTGGGGCTTCCGTAAAAGGTTGGCGCTGCTGATACGTGAAGGTCTAGGGTTTAGGGTCTAGGGTCTAGGGTTTAGGGTTTAGGGTTTGTGTTCGCTTCGGTTTGTGCTGGCAGATCGTAGGCATGACACACATGACGATGGCCGGGGGACTCTCCACAGAGCTTCAGATGGAGTAAGTTGCTGCTTCTGCTCTTGCTGCTGCTGCTTTTGCTGCTGCTACTTCCGCTGCTGCTGCTGCTTTTGCTGCTGCTACTTTTACTCCTGCTGCTCTTGCTGCTGCAGTTGCTTTTGCCAGGATCAGCCTCTATGCAAGGCACTTGTGAGCGGAAGTCTGCGCGGATCTAGGGTTAAGGGTTTAGGGTTTGGGGTTTGTTTTTTCAGGAAGATGCTGGCGCAGCTCTGCAAAGTTGCTATTTCCCTCCGTCCCTCTGTGAAGTACTAAACTCTGGACACCACCGCAGTGCCAAACCCTAACTAAACCCTAATCAGCCCGCGCCTTAAACCCTAGCCAGTGCTCAAACCCTAAACCCTAGCCAGGGGCTAAACCCTGCACGCCCTAAACCCTAGCCAGCGCCTGGACTGTACACGTCCAGACCCTAGCAAAGTCCCAGATGCGACTTGCTGCGGCTCCGGGGGGCAGAGCGTCGCAGCAGCAGTTGCTGCAGCAGCAGCAGCAGCAGCAGCAGCTGATGCTGCAGCATAAGCTACGAAGCGTGCATTTCGAAGGCCAACAGTGCAGTTAGCCACTGGTTACATGGTAACGAGCCGGAACTTGTTTTCAAATTTTGTTTTCTGAGACTTGGCTGCCTCAGTTTCATGTGGAAGATGATTTAACTAGAACTGCGGCTGCCGGCTGCATGCAGACTGGAGTAATTCAGCTTTCTTGCAAAAGTACTTAGTAGAGTGACTTCTGGGCCAAGCTAGAGTCACAAGACTCTGAAAAACGATCTTTGGCTATCTAATTCCTCTTTATCCCCCAGTATCCGTTAAAATGAACCAAAGTTTGGAAAACTGCACGCAGGCGTTGACGCCCAGGTTTCTGCAGCGCCTCAGCCGCTGCTGCTGCTGCAGCTGCTGCTGCAGCTGCTGCTGCAGCGGCGCGCGCACAGCTTTCTCGTTGAACATTTACTCCTCGTTCACATACTCGGGCCCCAAACCCGCAAAAGAAGCCACCGGCACGTGCTGCACTAAAGTATAGAACTTCTCAGCTGCGTCTTCATCTTCGTTGCGGCGCCGAGCCATTCGCACGCGCACACGGCGCGGCAAGTTGCGGATGCCGTTGCTCCAGATGTGCTTGTTCAGCTTCGTGTCGATGCGCACGTCCTGCGAAAATGCGAAAATTCCAAACAATTAATTCCAAAATGAAACAAATTAAACAACACACTAGTAAAAACATTAAAAAAACGGGATTACTGCCGGATCCAGGCAGGTTTCCTCCGCCCCGAAAGGCGAACTTGGAGTGTGCCGTTGGGTGAGCCTAGCTGGAATTGCCCAGCGGACTCCGATCAAAAAATGTGCTTCACTTGGGTTTTTATTCTTCATTAACAATTAGAAGCCGCATTTTCGCTTACTTTTGTGTGCATGACCTTCTCCGCAAACTTCCGGATCTCGCGAATAGCGCGGGGAGCTCTCTTCTTGAACTGAATGCCGTGCACAATCTTGTGGAGGTGAATTGTGTAATCTCTGCAAGCGGGTTGCATAGATTTGGTGGCTTTCTTCTTCCCGCCTGAAATGTGACAAAACAAGAACACAAAACAGGGGCATGCATGCAGCGCTGGCCCAACCACTGTGGGAACCTGAACGGGGGAAGCACCAGTCTACTCCCTATTAAACACAAGTATCCCTACAGAACTCCAGTAAAACCAATTTAGAGCATTTTGAAGAGCAACTGGGGATAATGGATCCTGCATGGCCGCTTAATCGCGGGGTTTCTGCGCTGCTCTCTCACTCTTGATCGCCATCTTCGCGAGCTGCTGGAACTGAAGATACGAGCGAGCCTATCCAGCGCCGCAGAAGAAATACAATGTAATTCCTCGATTTAAACTTGCGGTGGTCGTTCGGCAGCCTTGCTTCCCTCGTCTTGTCTTCTCAGTTGCTACGGGTGCAGCAGCCCCAGCGTAGCGGCCTGTGGGGTTCCGCTGCCAGGGCTGGCTTCTGTGACTGCTGCTGCTGCATGCAGCACGAAGCCGTAGGAAAACGGGTCTGTGCTATAATTTGGTCCTGTTCACATAATAACTAAGTGCTATGCTCCAAACGGACACTTACTTATAAGATGTGCGTAGAAGGCGGGCAGCATAGATAATACAGTGCAGAAATGTCACCAACTTAACCCCTGCTACGGCGCCTATTTCCTTCAAGTGTAAAAGTGCGCCAACAACATAAATATATGTATATAGCTCCAGGGAAACTGCCTTCAACTTGTTTTCTTGATGTGCTTGGTCCTCAGTGAACCCATGAAGCTGCCGCGTAAGTCCTTGCAAACTACAAGGCTTCAGGCAGACAGACCTGAACGTGTGCTACCTAATTTGGAAGTTACAAAGTGGGACCAGTGGCTTCATGGGAAAAGACTCAGTTACTGATGGCGCTGGGGGCAGTAGAGCCGAGCGCCATCCTAGTGCGCTTAACCAAAATAGCTTCACGGGAACTTAGAAGAAAAGCACAGGAAAATGTTCTAATTTTCAGAGGTGAAGACACTTTCCCCTTGAGTGGTGGAGCCTATAATGTGTCTGGACTACTGAGTGGCTCTGGTCTCCATCTCTCGGGGCTTCGTTTATGCGGACCTGTATTCAATTACTGACATGCACTTCCAGAAGGACCTAATCGCTACAGTGTTCAGAAAAAAGGCATCACAGGTTATGCGCTGTTTTTCCCAACTGCCGTGGGGGAAACAGGCACCGCTGACGTGGCACATGCTGCCCCTTCTATTCCCGTTGCACCCCTCAACCGCCACATATCTTGGCTTCCAGTACAGAGCTTAGTGCCAGTTCACTCTTCTGTGCCTCAACTCTTAGCTGACTCTGTCCAGCAAATATCTGTCAGAGGCAGCAGAATCCAGCATCCTCTGAACAGCAACTACTGGGCCTTTTGTGACGCATTCAGTACGAGCAGCAGTTGACACGGGTGCGCTCAGACAGCCGTGGGAGCTAGTGGCTGGTCGTAATACGTAAAGGCTTCTGGGGCCTTAGGCAGCTTCGGCTTCAATCAAGGGGAACGGATTGAACTAGACAGGCGTCTGCGCCGAAAGACTGGGAGATGTAATTCTAACTGCAAACCCTTGAAGGCATCATCAAGCTAGAATTTGTAAATTATTAGCTGTTAAACAGCAAAGGTCACTTGTTTTGAAGAGGGACGCCTGAAGGCACCAGAGAAGCTGCTGCCTGCCCTCTGCTTCCCCGCAAGAATGGAGCCATTGGCGACCCCTCCCGCAGCAGTTCTCGTTCCCTCTGCATTTCCACGTGCTTTGTGTTTGCCGGCAGCATGCCTTTTGGCTCTGCGGAAACGACTACCCAGCCCTGTGCCCCCTGGGTCACCTCCCTTGTGCCCTTGGAGGCCCCGGTGGAAGCCGCCTCCAGCGTTCATTGCGCTGGAAGGCGAAGGGTGTCTATGTTTTTTGTCTAAGTCTGCCCGTTCCTGCACCCGAGTAAATTGTTCGAAGTCGCCTATTAACGTGTTTGCGAAACCCTCCGCCACAGAGGCCAAGAAGTTCGAAAGGCCGAATAAAGGAGAAATCAAGCAACGCACGCAACAGGCAATCAGAATCGCCGTCGTCTTCCACCAGCTGTCGCCTCTGCAGCCAAATTCGCAAACAGGGAGAGAAACCAGGCAAAGCATAGCTGCGCAACAGCAGCAAAGTGGCGCACATTGCTGCTTGTCTGCAGCAGCTGGCACAAGGCTCGCGCAAAACAACAATGTCTGCACGGGTCTTCCCTGCAGCTATTTCTAGCTGTGGCATCTTATGGGTATATCTTTGTTCCTTTGTCTTCTGTGTCTGCGCTTGTGGGGAAGGCCGACTCAGGGCAGCCTCCGCCAGCTAGCCAACTCCTTAGCTAGCTGGTACGTGACTGTGAGTGAAGACCGCCAATCTATATGCCGGCAGCCAGCTAGCTGGGATTTAATGGCGTACCTGGTGACACTGGCGGTTGGTTCTGTAACAACAGCAACCCAAGGCCTCCAGAAAGTGTCTAAAATGAATCCGTTGAGTCCTTTCCAGAACGCGTCAAGCACGCCGTAGGGCCTGGGCCTGGAGCCCCTCATGAGCTTGTGCAGGATGTTGAGGACATGCGACAAAGACTGCATGACGCCTCCCATGGTGTAAATGATAAAGAGAATAAAGCCGATGCGGAAGCCCATCATGAGCCCCTCAAAGCTGTTGCGGTTGGTCTTCGCGCCCTTCACTGTTTGCCGACAGAGGGCACTGGTGCCCCTTATAAAGCCCACCACAAATGCACACGGATTGCTGATCCACGCCGAAGGCAGGGATTGCCGGATGAACTGCCGCAGGTAAGAGTTGCGCAGAGAGTGGATCAGCTCGTGCCAGGAGCAGACAGTGAACTTCCGCCTTTCCCGGGCTATTTGAATGGTCATGTAAGGAGTGTCCAGAGGCAGGGCGTCGACTATGTGCAGCACCTGGCGAGATATTCGGTGCTCCGAAGTGCGAATGGACACAGTGAGAGACAGAGTGCTGATGGTCAGGTTCTTTATGTACACGGGACTCGCCCGGTGCAGCTCCATCCACCTCGGGTTCGGCAAGACCAGCACATGCGAAGACGGGGGGTTTATGTACACCCGTGGGGTGGCGTAAAACTGCATAGAGATGGGCTCCCGCAGCAGCATCTCGTTGAATGGGTCCCCGCTGTGAGTCTCCCCCGTCGTTGCATCTCCAGAAACAGAAGACAGGTACCCTCCTGCTGAACTGGTGGCTGGCCTCAGCTTGTCCAGCGACAGCGGCGCCAGCGAGAGGCTGTGCATGCTGGAGTGGGTGAGGTCCATGGCCAAAGGGTGCACCAAGAAGGCTGCAGCAGCAGCAGCAGCAGCCCCAGTGCCTGGGGGGCCTCCTCCAGCCTCTGCGGCTGCACCCCCCAAAGAAGGAACAGCTGCCGAAGCATTTCCTGCTGTTGTCTCCGCAACCATCACCTGCTCCTGGCGATTCTCCTCAAGAATCTTCAGCACCGCCAGCTGCCGCAGGGCGTCAGCAGCGACGCTGCACTTTAGCGCCGTTTGCAGGGCTGGCGGTTTCTGAACAAGACACAGCACCAGCAGCAGGGGGGAGTGCAGCAACAGCACCAGCAGCAGGGGGGAAGCGCAGCAAAATCACCAGCAGCAGGGGGGAAGTGCAGCAACACCACCAACAGAAGGCCAAGGAGACACAAAGAGAAGAAGTCTAACAGTCTAAGACAAATAAGTGAAGCAAAACTGAATAGATGTCAGACACAGGGAAAAGCCAAACGCAAGAATCTACCAGATTGTGTGGAGGAGCTTAGATACCACCGCAAGTTGGAGAAAAAGCAGCGGCAGCAAAAAGATGTAGGCAGGCATGAAAGAAAGAAGAGCGAGTTGGAGTGCCAAAGGCACTCAGGGGCCAAAAAAGTCAAAATGGCATGCATGCATTCAGGGAGTAGCCGAATTCAAGGGCCAAATATACTCAACATGAAAATATAGCTGCCTGGAAGACAGTTGATAGTTGGTGGGGCCGGCAATCGCATACCTGTGGAGCTGCAAGGGCGAACTTGTGCAGCATTTCCACTTCTTTTTCGTATATGCTTATGAGCTGCTCAATAACGAGCAGCTCGATGTTGGCGCTGAAGGGACTGATGCGCACTTCCAAGAGCTCGTAAGTGGGAGCCTGTCGGGGGTCCACAAGAGACCTGACGACGGCAACCTCTAGGAACTCTTCTGTTTCCTTTCCGTACTTGGACGCCGTGTTTTTCAGTATGACAGGGATGTCTCCCTTGACGAAATGGTCCACGTGTAACATTGCGATCCGCGCAGAAAGAGTTACTGCACTTCGCGTCATCACCAGCAGCCCATAGTCCTCCTCCACGTGACGCTGCAGAGGGGGCGACCCCAAGTCGCCAGGCTGAGCCTCTCCCTCGTTGCCTTCTGCGTCTCCAGCAGTCAAACTCCTGCTGCTCCCGCTAAGGGAAGCAGACTCATCGCTTCCCGGAACTTTGAAACAGGGGCCCTGCTCACCTACAGAGCTATTCGACGCAGCGGGCTGGCGGGCTGCCCTAGGAGAGCCCTGAGGGGCTTCCCCGACCTCCCCAGACCCTGCGGGCAGCGAGTGCATGCGGACCTGCTGCAAGACTCGCTCTAAAGGAACAGCCTCGAGAAAAACATCTAGTTGTCGTGGATTGACAGAGCCCGAGAGCGAGAGGCCCGTCAGGTGCAGCGCCAGTACCTACACATCCACGAGAAATCCGCACCAGCAAACAAGATCAAATATACATGATAATGGAAGTAAGCAGAAGCCTGCCTCAACACAAACTAAAACAGCTCATAAGAGATTTGGGAAATAACTCAGCGGGCTGCGCACGCGGGGCAAGCTGCGTTACACTTTCTAGCACAGCCTTGCAACAGTGAGTACGCAAGCACATAAGAACGGCCCGCAGCCAACGTGATGCTTGACCATTTATTATTACTTCATCTGCTCCGCTTATTGCTTAAGTGCGTTTTGTCCAAAAAGAGTTAAGTACAAAGAAATGCAAGAGGCCACGGTGCTCACTACTTCACTTTGGTGAATCCAAGTGACGGTTAAACGGGGGAGACGAAATTCGAAAGACAATCCCAGCCAAGGCGGAGGCCTCTGCTGCTGTTTTCCGTGCAGCAGCGAGCCGCGGTCCTGGGAAATTATGGCGTCCTTCGTATATATACTGGGAGACTCGGGCGATTGGGCATCTCCTGATAAAGCCCCTGCAGCTTTGGGCCTCCCTGTGGCAGTGCCACTGCTATCTGCTGCTGTTTTTGACGCTGTGGCGCTTGCGGCTGCTGATGCAGTTGTTGGGTCGTACAGCCCCGCAGCAGCAGCAGCAGCAACTGCGCCGCCGTCGTGCTTACCGCTCTTCCTCATGAACTCTTCCCTGATCATGTCAAAGGCTGCGCCGCCTGCGCGCATTTTCTCTGCCACCTCAGGAGATTCGGTTATAATGAGAATGCGGCTGCCATTTGCAGCGACTAATGAAAAGACGTAAAGCGTGGCCGTCTGCCTCTCCTTGTTGGCCCCAGTCGAAGACTGGCCTCCGCGAGGAGTCTGGGGGCGCATGAGGCTGCTGCCAGTGCAAAACAACACAGAACAACAAGAAGCCAGTCAGCTCCTAACCCGGAGCATTTCCCTTTAAATAATGAGCGTTTGCGACCCAGCAACAGCGACGAAGCAGCTTAGCAAACACAGCTACTGCGGTTCTATTCTGTGGCTTCCACCTGATGGAATCAGCTGCATTGTCTTTGACTGCCTCATCACGCCCTCGGCGCTCGCTATCTATCTTCATGCCCCTATAACTTCTTCTTTGTGCCTCCGCCTATATTTGCCTAACTGTATCTGTGCCGTCGCCTCTCCTTGTGTACGCTTGTATGAATCTGTCGCTGTTTCAAGTGACTCGAGGAGCCCTTCTTTGTTGCCCCCTTTGCGTCTCTTTCCTTTGAAGTCATTCATTGTCTAGGGGGTGCGCATATCTATTCGTCGCTGCCTATAAATATGCACTCGTTGCCCCTTCTGTTGCTCACCGCGTGTCTGCGTCTTGGGCGAATTGGTCTTCCTCGGTGTCAAGATTTCCTTCGATAGAAACGCCCCGGCCTCCTCCCGCTGCCCCTGCCCTAAAGTTGCAAGTGAGGGCGCTGCTGTTGTTTCCCACAGCAGCTGCAGCAGCTGCTGCAGCAGCTGACGCTGCACTGACAAGGGTCTTGGTGGGCAGTCGCTGCAAAAACGGGGCCTTGCGCGTAGACGCTGCGTCAACTGAGCGCGGGGACCCTGGCTGCATGGGTGGGCTAGTGGAAACCCCCAAGAAGGCGCCCGTGGGGGCGGACCCCTGCGGCTGCTGGTGAGGCACGAACTCAATAGTCTGCAGGTCCTCGTCAACTGATGCCAAGCTGTATACAGACCAGGGACAGTGCTCCACGTCGAGTACCCTTAGGCGCACCCGCGAATTTTCCAGGTTCTTGTGGTAGGGCGGAATGAAAGGCACAGAGCCCCACGGTGGGATCAACTGAAAAATAGTGCACAACACCAAAGCATGATGAAGACGTGGACTCCTAAGTGCTAAGACACATGTCTCAAAAAAGTTGTAACCCAAAACAAGGACTCCCATCAAGTGAAAGGGCAAGATGCCAGGCATGTGACTGCTCAAGACCGACTACTGTCAACTACGTGCCTACAAAGCACCCCTATGACTATCAAGCCCTCTTTGCTCTTTCCAATCATGCCTTTGCCCCGAGTCAAAGCAATGTCGGGGAATCAAAAACCGCCATGTTCAGCATTCCAAAAACAGGAAAAACCGCATCAGGCACGAGTGCATATTTAGAGGCATAGACGAACAGATATGCGTCCCCCCTAGGCAATGAATGACTTCAAAAGGAAGAGACGCAAAGGGGACGAGACAGAAGGGTTCCTCGAGCCACTTGAAACAGCGGCGGATTAGTACACGCATGCGCAAGGAGAGGCGACGGCACAGATGCAGTTAAAATTGCTGCCGAGCTAGCGTGTTGCCGCTGCAGTCACCGATACTGTTAAAGACTGATCCACTGAAATAACATGTGGCTTATATCTGCATCAGAGAGCCCATGCAGTTCCCGCCGTCACTAAATATGCTGCCATGTCCCCCCCATTTTGTCCCAACTAATGCTGTTTCTAGGCGCTTACGCGGAGATTGGCATCTGATTCATCGCGTCCCTTCTTCGCTGTGGTCTTCGTCTGAGATCCGCTAGTCACGGGAATGGCAAAGGCATCATCTCGCAGCTGGTTTTGTTGTGTGCGCCGGCTGCGTTCTGCAGGTGCGTGAGCAAGGAAATAGCTGCTGAGGTTGAGGATGGCAAACTGAGGGTTTTCCGGCAGTGATAGTACAATGAAGCTGCCATTGTAAGTGTACGGTAACGCAGGAACATCTCCAAATAGGCCTGAAACGATGGAGACCTGCACTATAGGACAGTGCTCAGGGAGGTACACCTGGGTGCCACCTCCCCGCGGGGTCAGCTCAACTTGAAAGAAGGAAGGCACATGGGCAGGCACCAGCGAAAACGAGCATGACACCAAGCTCCTTTCTGCCTGTGTCAGTAGCACGCGGGGTTCTACCCCATGGAACGCCTTCGTCTCCCCTGCTAACAGAGAGAGCTCGCAAGGGCTCACTTTCTGCCGCCCTCCCATCGCCCCTCCCAGAACTCGGCTCCGACTGCGTACTTCCCGCACCACCACAGAAAACGGCAGGCGTGAGATGAACACGTATCGGGGAATGACACTGACGATTTTCGTGGTAGAGTAAGGGGCTTCTCCGTAGCGAGTGCAAAGGCCCAGCACGAGAGTTGAAGGCGCGTTGCCATTGCTGCTGCGCACGGGGTCTTGCGGGGTCGCAGTGGCCGTCCCTCCCAACGTAGGTGGGGCGGAAATATCTGTAGCATCCCCTGGAAAAATAGCGTCCTTCTCGGTACTGTCAGTGTCCCTCAAGTCAAACGTGTTATCAGGAACATTTTTATGGAGGAGAAACGAGCGTCCCCTTCCAAGTTTGCGGACCCTACGCTGCACCGAGACCCTAAAGGTCCTGGCCCGGCGAACTCCCAGGAAACCCCTGTCTTCAGAATCACCCCCAGTGCTCATGATGTCAGAGTGAGAGCGCGGCACGCCAAAGGACCCCGCAGGCCCTTTCTGTCCAAAACGCCTGCGGCTCTCGCTCGGCAGATGTCCCAAGGTGTCGTCATCGACGAAGGAGTCTGTCGAAGACTGTGCACAACCAGAATACAAAGGTCCATGCAAAATGAAGGTATGAATGAAACTACCCTGCGTTTACTGAGCCAAACACGCATGTGCGCCTCTGGAACCACTATCTGACGACTGCAAAACATGCACGCGTGCGGGCTTGGAGATAAACGAGACAGAGCAACTATGCATAAGATACACGCTCCTGCACAATTCTATATGCGCATGCGTGTACATGCATAATCAACATGTACACTTGAGAACCAACGCTATCGACGATGCTACCAAGCATTGAAGCCGGAGATAACAATAAGTGATGAATTACCGCTGCGGCCTTCAGAACTGGAGACTCTCCCCTTGACACGTCTCTATGGACGTCAGACGCCCCTCCCAGTGTCTGCTGTCTCTCCGCCTCCCCGTGATTGAGAGAAGAAGTGACTGAGTCCACCGAGCCTCCACCTCCACCTGATGCGTAAACGCGCATTGGGAACTTCCATTCTCATACGTGCAGACACAGGTAAAGGCGAAGGTATAGAAAGGAACACAAAGACGGGATGCAGAGGAAAAAGATAGCCACAATGAAGTACAAGCTAAACGACATCGACACGAATATCGACTGAAACAATTGACAGAAAACTCACTCGGAAGCTCGTTGCTTTGGCGCTGCTCCTCTCTCGTAGCAGACGCCACACGATACCCCCAGCCAAAACGAAGGTACCGCTGTTTCCGCAGTGTCGCCAACTTAAGTACCAGTGGTGGCCTGCACAGGCACATGCAGGAGAGGGACCAGGTAAAAAATGCTCGGTTATTGAGTGTGAAAGCAACACGAATAGACAGTGAAGCAGGCTCTTACAGGCGCTGCTGGAGAAGGGCAGTCACACCACACTGATGAGACTCGACAACACAGCTAAGCCCAGCCGTAGGCGCTGTTTCATATGCTCCCTATGTCCGCAACGTCAATCAGCAGCCAGAGCATTAGCAGCAATCTCGGTTTTGGGCTGCTGTATTACCTGGCAGTAGATATGCCTGAGAGGTCCTGCTTCCTGCTGAGAGAGGACTGCAAGACCCGGTCGGCCAGCTGGTCTATTCTGTAGGCTCGAATAGAGGCAGCCCGCATGTCTTCCTCTGTGGTATAGAGTCGGCAGCGGCTGGGGACAAGGGCTCCATTTACTGACAAGGCGGCTTCTGTTAGATTTTCAAAAAAGTACGGGGCAAACACCGTGATTTGCCTCCTGCTGACATCGGCGGCCAACTGCATTTCAGAGAAAAGAGGAGGCAGTCGCTTTCCTCTTCGCTGGTTCATTGCCTCAGCCTTCACGAGCTTGAGAGCTCCAGGAGGCAGCAAAGACTCTCCGCGGCCGTTTTTCAGCTGCAGCACCTTTGAAACGGTTAAGGTGTCTTGTGTTGGCAGTAACACAGCAAATCCTTGGGACTCATACACAGTAGTCGGCTGCTGGTGCTGCTGCTGTTGCTGTTGCCGGTAATTCTTGCGCTTTTTCTGCTTCTCTTCTCCAACTCCAAGGCCCGACGACATCCCGTTCGCTGCTGCCTGGCTCAAAACGCCTTCCAGGTTCTCTTGTTGCAGCAGCCAAGCTGCACCACTTAGCCGAGACGCTCCGCGAGAAGCAGCAGACGCCAGCAACTGCAGCTCCAAAGGACCCAATGGCCTGCCATCGGTAGGGTGGAATGCTTCGAGCTGGGTGTTAAACTGCTCAAGTGGGGCCCCATGAACCCGCAGCACGAGCCACAGTCTTTGCTCACCCACCGGCAGACCCTAAGGAAGGAAATGAGACAAAACTCTTATCGAGGTCATATGTATGACGTAACAAGTGGCCGACCCAAGTAATGGTAAAGCACTTTGCAAAAAGGGCCACAGTAGATCGTTGCAAATCTCCAAGTCTTATCAAGGCAAGCTTCCTGCCAACTACAATTACACAAAATATGACACGTTTCAAATGTGAATATAGAACACTTGTCGCCATGCAGTATGCACATATTTCTGTCTGAGTTCATTCATGTACAAGAAGCGTACAAACCAACGTGTGGCTGCTTTTGCATATATTTAAGGGGACATTGCTATTTCCTGGCTGTTTATTACGTCTTGATATAACAGATACACGCGCATGAATACATGCAGCACATACCCAGCTCTGATGGGAGGGGATGGTCGCCTCGACGAAACTGTCTGCCACAAGCTTAGCAGCCGTTCCTCTTGACTTCTGTTGCTGCGCCTCCTCCTTTTGTCTCTTTCGGGTCTCCAGCTCGGCCAAAAGCTCAGCTTGCGGGTTCCCAAAGGCGTACCTTAAAGGCTTCCCTGGCTCTCCCGTTGAAGCAAGTGCGTAGGTGTCGGTTGCTGCTGGGGACCCTGCAGCAGCAGTAGCCATCGGGGCTCCTGCACCCGGCTGTGGCTCGTGGGAATGGCGGCTGTCTCCAATATTTCTCAGAGAGACAGAAACTGTGATGGGGAAAGGAAGCGTGTTCTTGATACTAAGCATTGGTTCCAGCTTGATGACGTAACGCTGGGCTATTCGAGACGCCTCAGATGTAGGTACATCCGTCGTGTCAACCATCCCATACAGCATCAAGGAGCCACGCAAGCGTAAAGTGAAGGGCGGTATGTCGAGCCTGCGAGGTTGGGTATCTGGCATCAGGACATGCAAGGCAGACAGCAAAGCAAAGCAATTAAAACAGGGTCCCACGAATGTGCCGGCGCCGACCACTTAGCCGCATAACTGAAGAAATGCATATGTCTCACATCCTGTTTTGTTGGTAAGCTTGTAAAGGGCAGGGAAAGGAACCGGGGGGATTTCGGGCTCCCCGCGTCTTTCCTGAGCCTCGCCTCCCCCCTCTGTGTGCAAAAGGGCAGCCAATGAAGGGACAGTTCCGTTTCCAAACCAGGACAGTGGCACCGAGCGGCGGCAGCCAGGAAGAATGTCTATGTACTCTTCGTGGGCCGAAGAGACGCGAGTTTCGCCCGTTACACTCGCCGCGAAACAAGATATTGCCAAGCCACCCCAGTTCCTCTTCGCTCGGCCCACGTAAACTCGCAAGGTCATGGAGCATGCGTTGGCTAGCTGGACGCAGCTTCCCACTGCAAGACTCCATGTGCCACTCCTCCGGTCAACTACTGGCTCTACTAATACCTTGAAGCCCGCATTTTGCAAGAAGTAAGCTCTGCAATTGGAGTAGTCCGCGTGAAGGCGGCCCATACAACACCATCCTACTTCCTTACGAAGCAGCTGCAACAAACCTTCCCAACCACAGCGCATACCCAAGTTGCCTCCCCCATGAAGTACTGGCATGTCATCTACCAGCATTTCAAGGGGCGCTTGGGCTCTTCGAGTCGATGAAAATAGTAGCGTCTCTTCCTACAGACCAGGACCCAACACAAGGCCGATGAAAATGAAAATAGCAGGACGTCTAAAGCACAATAGCAACTGCCACTGCAGCTACAACAGCACGAATTGCCTCTTACGTAAGACTTGAGCCAGGCGTTGTCGACATTTCTTGTTCCCAACCGGAGGATACCCTCGACAATGCGTTTGACATCATCGTAGGATTCCAGTCTCAAGGTTGGGTAAGTCTCGTTGAGCTTCTCGTGGGGCACACCTCCACGTCTCCACAAACGGCGTTTCTCGGGGGCAACCTCTGCTGCAGCTGACTGCTTTCGAACCGCAAAATAGAGAGATGATGTAGGAGTCATAATCCATTCATCTGGCTGCATGCGCGAGTAGGTCCACCTGCACAGAAACTCGGAACTTGCAAACAACTACTGAGGCAGCCTGCAAAAGATTGATGACAAGTGAGCAGCGGAACCTAACGAGGCCTTGACAGGCTAGCACGTATCCATGTAAACTGGCTGCCCTGATCATCTGAGCATTTCGGGCAGCCAATTTGTTCAGGCAGCGTACGGAGAGGGCGACTTACCCTTTGGGCTCTCCCCTTGATCTTCGGCGGTGCATAACAAGTACTTCCGAGTGTATGTCATTGTACACCCTTAGGCTAGTGTGTCTGCCAAGACTGCCTTCGGCGCCCTCCAGAATTTCCCTGGTGGTTCGCATGATGTGATAGACGAGCTGAAGCAGACCGGAGGTGATATCCACCGAGACTCCGTCCATCGCACTGCGGATATTCACGAGGCTCCAGTGGCTAGACTGACCATCCACGTACTGTCGCTGAATCTCCACAGAGGCAGATACTGGGTGTAGCAGCTCTTCTTGCGAGTTTGTCATGGGATCGTAACCTGACACCATAAGCTCCAGACGGCCCCCTGAGTTCTTGACGGAGTCTGCGCTCCAGAGCTCGGGATGTATGTATACCTGGCCCTCCAAAGCTAAAAGGCTCACTTTTAGGAGCGACCCATGGGCATCATGAAATTCGAACGCCCCTTTTATTACTTCCCCCTTTATGTCCAACTCTGTCTCCCCTGGAAGTTTGAAATTCATCAAAGACAAAAAGAAGCCGATGACACGGCAGTAAGGATCCTTGAAGTCCTCCTCACCCACTCCTTGCAGCAGCGAAACCGGCATGGATGTTCCCACGTCGCCTGGGGCCCCTGCAGGAGTGTTTTCCATCACGCCCATGCCCTTTCTTCGCGTCAGGGCCCCACGCAATCCCTCCTCCCCAGGCTGCACCAGCCCTTGATCCCGGAGAAATCCCTCATCTGGTCGTTGAGTTCCCCGTCCATACGCCTGTGGTTTAGTTGTGCTGCGGCCCCCAGCAGCCATGAGGTTTGCAAGAAGCAGCATCTCTGGTGAGTCTACTGCTTCCTCATCGTCAACTCTCTGGGCCGTGATCCGGGCATCCCGGAAAGTCGCAGCTTGCGTTTGTGGCTGCAGGGAGGCTTGCTGTTGAATAAGTTTCCGCTGCTGCGCACTGGAAGAGGGCTCGTTCGGTTGCTGTTGCCTAGGAGCCACCCCGTCCTTAAAACTCCAGGAAAGAGATCCTCTTGTCAGTGCAACTGGTGAGTCTACGCTGCTGCTACTGCTGCTGTTGCTGCCGCTACTGCTGGTCACCACCGAGACCCCCTCTTCATGCTGCTGCTGCGAGACACTTGACATTGCCCTTAACTCTTCCAGAGCCCTTCCAAAAGCTCCACCTCTGCGTTGCTGGTGCAAACGTATTAAATCCATTGCTTCAACAATTGGAGGCTCCACAAACGCCTCAGAGCCCCTAGCTCCCCTCCCCCCTTCAGGCGCTACCCAGCCAAACAGAGGCCTTTGACGCTGTTGGGAGGCAGGCCCCACCGCATCTCTCACGGAAAACGCATAATCTCTCAAAAACCGAAGCAAGCTTCCTTCCATTGAAAGATCCCCAATCGAAACTGAATAATTTGTCACGCGTAGTGGCCCCGTGTAGCTCCCCAAGGCCGCAATTCCCATCTCAGGAGCAGCAGGGGGTGATGATGCGCCCCCCACTCCCAGCAAGGGCCGCGGGGTCTCCGACGCACAACTGGTTCTTTCAGTCCCTGTGGGGTTTGCAGATCTCCCCAATTTGTCCGCATTCGGCCCCATAGCGTCGGACGTTGCTACCTGCTGCGTTCCGCCTGCTCCCGGAGGCAACGTAGGCTGTAGATCTTGCTCCCGGATGGGCTGCTGTTGTGTAAGGGAAACAGCTGAGGCCTCTGCTGCTGCAGCCGCTGCTGCCACCGAAGCCTTCATTGCTGTCATTGCCGCAGCGGCCGATTTAGCAACCTGCAGCTGTTCCAGCCTCGCCTGAGTCTCTAAGCTGACGAGCCCTTGAAACATCTCGAAGGAGAAGTGAACTTGAGGGTCCAAAATTGTCACGCATATCTTCACTTTGCCTCCGGGTATGCCTGCACAAGGCACGATCACCATAACCATGACATATGCGGTATTCTGTGCACAATCTAGATCTGCATGCCCATATATGAGGTTTTAAAGACATAGCGATAAGTGCATATTAATTTATACGCGAGCCATGAACCTCGACAAAGTCATTTTGCGTGCTTTTTGTTTGGGAAGTTTGTGAGTTGGCCTGGGAGCAGAGCAAGTGATATTTATGAATCTTAGACTTTTAAGTGCCTGCGTGTGGGTATGGTAACTGCCACGATAGATAAGGCAAGCAAGGGCATCTGACATATAAGTGAGGAAACACTTTATTGCATGGTTGCATTTCACACGCATGATTCTACAGTCGGCGTCAAACAGCAGAAAAGGCTCCCCGTAAGCAGAAATCCGCAAGTATAAGTAATAGGTACTACACTGAGCAAGGCATTTACCACAAGTAGCCATGGGTACTGTAAAATTCCATGTGGCCTACCTGATACTGTAGCCGTAGATGATGTCACAGATATAAGGCAATCACTGCGCTGCTGGAGATTGGGGAGTAGCAGGGCCCCTCCATATCCCTCGAGTACATCCGGGAAATTACTGAGCACGATCGACCCTTCATCTTGCAAAATTGTCTGCTGCCTGTCTAGCGGATGCGTATCTGTTGCGTGGAAAAGTGAGGCCAAGCCAGACTGCTTCATGCTTTTACTGTTAAAAGGTGCTTCTTGTTGCTGCTGACCTTCTGGGAGCTGCCTTTGGTAACCATGGCCTGTCCACACTCCACTGGAGCCTCTTCCTATGCCCTGATACTTTTTTGACACAATAAATTCACTGCAAGGGAACGGTGACCCTACCATTGCACTTAGTTCTACAATTTCTCCACAGGCATTCACGTCAGGTCCCCGCTGCAGCATCCGCAATGTGCACGCAACCAGAAGCCCCACGACAATTTGCTGCTTTCGCCGGTCTTCAATGTTCTCCTCTTCTACGCAGAGTCCCTTCCTATTGACAGCCGTCAGCAGGACCTGCAATATCAACCACAAATGCAACATCAAGCAAGGAGGCCTGGCACTTCAACTGCGTTCGGAGTGGGCCACTGCAACATTACTTGGAGCTGGTTCACAGAAGGATGCCTTGCAGTATCTCAGCACCTGAATTAATCCATTCAGAGTTTTGTGGTCCTCTGGGGTCCATGACTGATATGTGACTAAGACATGTATGAATAATGAGCTACCTGCATCAGAGTCCTTGATAGCGGCAGCCCCTCCGTTCGCTGGTGGAGTCCTTCCCCTGCCGAGATATCTTGAAATGATTTGGGGGAACTCATTACAGTGAGAGACTTCAGCTTCGCCTGAAACGACCAGCAAGCATTGCAAATTATCACTTTCGCGGGATGCTAACGAGTTTGACTCTCTCTTATAAATGCGCACAAACAAGAAGTAGATGAAAATAAAATAAGCTGACCACATGCATATACCTCCAAAGCTTATCTGCGCAAAAGCTGAGCTATGGGCAGTGACCATATCCGCTTTCCGTTGAATTGGCGGTGATACATCAAAGCGAGCATGCGTCGTACATACAATGATGTGATGTTACTTCACATGCAGTCCGCTGTGATTCAGATGCAGTCTACAGACACGGCAGAGAAGCTACGTGCTTTCGGCAGCGAAAGTCCGGCATCCACCACAAAATATCCTACGCTTTGTGGACTGAAAATAAAGCATGTCCACGCTTCTGGAACGTATAAAAGGTTTCAAAAGCTTCACCAAAATGACGCACTCTGTTTCCTTTCTTCAAAGGTGCAATACCCGCTTTCTTGAGATTCTCTGGCGTAGGAGCTGCGTCCGCCGCTTGAAGGGAAGACTGGTCTCCGTCCCCAGCACCTAATACAAACCATATCTCAATTCCCTTAAATGTCAGTTCCACCACCTTTTGCAATTTCGCTCCAAGGGCTGCAGCTTCCTGCCGAGAAGGCGCCGATTTGCGTTGGCTTGGCTCGTGTGGCAGTGGAGCAGGCGCTTCCGACCACTGCCCACTCTTGCCCTCTAAGAGGTGTGACTGCAGTGGAAATGCTGTGAACCGCCTACGCTCCGAGCGGACTGAAGATTACAACAAACAGCACGGCAACGCATCATGTGCAAACATCAAGCCCAAGCAAACGCCTTGCACAAACGGGTTAACATGGCGCTGGAGGCGCTGTGCTGTTTTCCCTAGACTCCTAACACTAGGCCTAGAACTTCAAGTGATTTCAAACGTGTGTCCCCGCCGTACGATTCGGAATGCCTGTTGCCGAAGGAGAAATGTGGGCGTAAGGCACTGGAGAGCGCTTGTCCCCAAAAGTAGCGCTGAGGGAGGAAGCAGCAGAGATACTGGAGGCAACGGAGTGGATGAGCCTGCTGACACGGCTTTTGGGGCTCCCAGGTCCGACCTTCGCCGCGGAATTTCTAGACGGAGCCACATCAGCCATTCGACGCCGTCGGCAGCATATGCAATCTGCAATTAAGTGGACACACTGACTCAGCAGAAACGCTTAAGACAACTGGAGTAATTCATATTTAAGGGGCAGCCAGGTAATGTACTTTACTGCTGATAATGCATGCTTTCTTTCACTATTCTGAAATCTTAAATCGCGGCGCATCTGCAACGCACTTCGCATTCGACTCCAGAAACTTTCAGGAGGTCGCCTAGGGCTTGCGAGGCTGCTCTCCCTGTCAGCATCATCGGGAGAATTTCGGACGCCGTCTGGAGAGGAGGAAGACGGGGCATCACTCGCAGATGGACGGCGCTGTGCCTGCGACGTCGGCAAGTTCCCCCTCCTCACAGGACCTCTGAAGTCCCCCAAAAGCGAACTCTTTCCAAATGGCATCCTCATAGATGGCATTTCAGCTGAGGCAGCCCCATGGTAGCCCGCGTAGGGTTCTAAGCTTGCCGTCAGGCTGCGGCCATAAGCAGGATGGCTCCGACCCTGCAAAGGCAACACAAAGAAGAACCAAAAGAGTGGCCCGAAAGGCGGCGTATTGGTATAATCAACAACATGACAGATCAAGTCTTCGTTAATCAAGCATGCTCCTCGAGCGGCGCGCTTAAGGTTCCGAACACCTCTAGACAGTTTATATCCGCCAGGGATATCACGGCAACGAAAAAGCCGACTCTTCGCTCAAGAAAAGGCACTGTATTCCCTTTTCCCTCAAGGCATAAGATTGTCGACACACCGGTTGCTGCGAAGGACTGGCTTGCAAATCAGAATGGTGCTGAAAAAGGTCCGCTGTCTGCAATCTCCACGGTGATGGCGTTATTGCTGACTGGGCTATTGTGCTGGCCGCTGCTGCTGCTTCTCTCGCTGCAATGTCCGCCTCAAGCACTTGTAGTACCTGCTGAATTGACATGGATGCCGCCATCTCAGGCAGCTGTAGGGGAAGATACCCATGCCACTTGTCGGGAGCCAGGGCAGGAGGCGGTAGTCCAGGATAAAGGAGAGACAAAATACCAAGCCCCCTTCTCTGCAGCAGCAGACACCTGCGAATTGCCTGCTCTTCTGCCTCTTCCACATGCTGCTTGTGTTGGCGCTCCGGTACGCAGGGGGAAGGTCCCCTTGACTGCAGCTGTGAGACCCTCAAAAGTTGCTGCGCATGCACTCCAACGGGTATCATCCACGAGGCTGTCGAGAAGCAACAGCCAAAGCTCAGAGCAGGAAACTGCAGTCGGAAATGCTTGAGCTGCTGTAAGGCTCCATACAAACCAATGCCCCAGGAATACACAGTGGATGCCTGCAACGCGCGCAGTTGTACTCTCAGTTGTGCTACTTCAGCTGATGCATATATCATTTCGTCCGACACCCAGACAAGCCACTGCAACAGAGGGTCCTGCAGAGGCATGTCCAACATCAGCGCCTGCCGGACAGATAGACGAGTTCTGTGCTGGTGCCTGCGGCCAGCTGTTACACCAGTCGCTCCACCTCCCTGAGCGCTCGTTGGAGTTGTATTACCAGCAGCCGACGGAGAGGGACCTGCAGCTGCTGTGTAAGGACTCTGTGGCGACTGTAGACTTCCCGTCGGTTGAGCGCTCGAGCTGAAGTCCCCTGAAAATAATTTGGGGATTACGGAGGCATTCTGGAACAGTCGACTTCCATCTTCCCCCCTAATAATGCAGTCCCTCAATGATAAAATCATGCGAAATGGTTCAACACATGAGCCCGATGTCGTTCCAGCGCATCGTGGTGACCTAGGCACGTTAGCATCATCTGTCGGACTTCCAAAAGTCGTCGAGCCCAAGCCTCTACGGCCTCCCGCCCAACCGCCTACAAGGCGCTGATGCTGAGAAAAACGATCGAAGACCTGCTGCTCGGAAACAAATGATGCTTCTAGATCCTTTAGCAGCACCTCTAACACACAGCTGGACTGCCTGGCTTGTTGTAGCGTGGAAACACGCTTTTTGTCTTTTGCTGAGCCTGATGCAGGACCTTTCGCTGGTGAAGAGAAGACAGTAGACAGTGAAATGCGCGGGGAAGTGCCATGCGCAATCTCCTGTGCAGAGGAGGTTGCCTCGTCAGGTATGCGAGGCCTCTTGAGGAGTTCTATCCTCAAAAGAGGTGCTGCGACTTTGATTGAACCCAGTGCTGATTCTGATTGCAGACCAGCTGATGTCAGGCCTTGTAAAGGAGTTGCCGATGCCGAAGCCGCTGCCGCCGCAACTGCCGAAGAAAAGAGATTCTGATTATATGGCTGCTGCAGCTGAGAAAAAGAGTAGCGTCGGGAGCCTCGCGAATCAAGCGGAGAGAAGCCCGTGCGGGGGCCAGAGTTAGCAGGGCCCAGCGCACCACCAATAGCAGCATGCCATCGTTGCTGGTGCAGCTGGTCGGCGGAAGAGGCGGCTTTAGTGTGCAAGCCCTTTATAGTCAGTACAAGGTCAACGGCAACGCAGGGAGACGACGGGGCTGCCGCAAGGCAGCACAGAAAATATGTTGCGTCTGCCGTCAATGTCTGGCGGAAAGCAGTGACTGGCAGCAGACGGCTGGTTGCGGGGACAGCAGGGAGGTTAAGAATTTGACAAGGAGAAGGCAGCGTCAACTGAAGTGAGTGGATACACAGAGATGCAAAAGAATCGTGAGTGAGATGCTCCAGCGCAGAACGCAAGGTGAACCCTAGTTGTAGCAACGATCCTGGGAGCGGCCCCCACAGCCGTCTGTCGACATACAGAGCTCTCTCATCTGTATTTTCTGAGTCTTTTGCTTCCAACTCATTTGAATTTCCCTTGTCAGAAAGGGCGGAGGCAGAACGATTGTCGCTCGCCGCCTTTGAAGGCTGTTGTTCTTGCTGTTGCGCTGCTCGGGGTTCTTCCTTTGAGCTCAGAGACGAAGCACGAGCTGCTCCAGCAAACTCCGAGTAGTTTGCTAAACTCGGCAGGCACTGCACAGCAGCTCGAGCAGCTTCTGCTGCTGTGGTTTGCTGCTGCTGCATGCCTTGTCGGATGGCCTGAAGGCCCACCGAGAGCCGCGAAACCACCGCAGTCATCTCACCATCTGGCCCAAAAAGCTGGATGAATACATGGACCTGCAAACACATACAGCATGCTACGCTCAGCGAGAATCCCTGTACATCCGTCCCTGTTATGATGTCTCGCTATCTCGGCATTGTTCTGCGTGGGGCGCTTTAATCGCCCAGATCCTCCTGCTGCAACACAGGTAGTATGGCATTAGCCATTCTTACAAGAAAGGGAGTGCAGGCGCAAAATGTGGGGAATATGTCTCCCCTGCAAACTATCTTCGTGTCAGGTGGACGACTATCGGGAACTGCGCTGTTGGCGTTCACAGATGGGGCGGTGTGGGGATTGCTGGACTTGTCTATCAGTCTGTACATCAAAGAAATGTGAGGCGAGATGCTGTTGGCACCCTGTAGCCTCTCCGCCGCCGCTCCTTTTTTCCTCTTCTCTTCCTCCCGAGGCACTGCGTTGAAAACAGCACCTGCAAGAGCTGCTGCAGCGGCTGCTGTCGTGGGTGCATGCAGAACATGCACTGTCCTTGCCGAAACACCCGCGGAGTTCAAAGGACCTTCGTGGTGATCCCCTGCGGACACAGACGAGTTACAAACCCAAAGCTCGCATGCAATTTAACACTAAATTGCGACAAGTTGGCAGTACAACACCATATTCTTCACGACTATTCACGTGCGTGCAGACGGCGTCTGCCTTTGCGTTTACAATCGACCAACTCACCTGGCGAGCGAACTTTCTTGCGGGAAAGTGCCTCAGATTTCACAGCATTCTGGGCCTCCTCGCGCCGCCGCTGCAGCAAGCCTCTCTCATTCTTAGTTGATGCACGCACGAGAACGGGCAGCAGCAGCACCCGTCCTTCTTGCGCTCGAAAGTACCCGGCAAATGGTGGAGGAGAAGGCAGAGAAACGGAAAGCCAGTCTTCTGCCCATATCTCCTGCAGCAGAGGCGTAAGGTGTTGTACTTCCTGAGCTGCCTTGCTGAGGCGACTCTGCTCACGTGATCGATTACTGCGGTCTCCATCCCGAGCATTTGAGATCGACCGTCTTCCTGTCTCTCCTGGAGGGCTGCAGAGACCCCGAAACCCTTCAGCGGCGTGCCACTGAGTCCCTCTTGGGGAAAGTTTCCTCAAAGCTCTGGAAACCCGCATGCGGTGAGATGGCAGTGGATGATTTCTGACGCTTCCGCCTACTGTGCTGTCACCATCTCTGGGATCTGTGTCGGCTGCTACCAATGCTGATCCTCTCTGCGCCGTTCTACCATCCCTTAGGTTTGCCTCTGTAGGCCTCCTCGATCGCTCGAGGGCGAGAGCTGCCGCAGCAGCCAAAGCTCTACAGGGATTTGCTGCGGCCTTGTTGTCTTGAAGATACACAGCGCTCCATATGGCCACGCGCTTAATCTCCAAGTCAACAGCCGTGCAAGTAAAAAGCTCTCGCTCCTCTTCTGAATCCTTCTGGAAAATATCTGCAGTATCCCCCAACCGGCGGCCCCGTCTCTTTCCGAAGGCATTTCTTGCTACTGAAGGATCTACCGGCTCTCGCGTCCGGGCATCTGGTAAGCTACCTAGCCCCAAATGCTGCTGATCTTTGGGAAAGATATGCGTGCGTCCCACCATTCCCACGCTGAAGCACAAGCGCACACCAGGGTCGTTTCTCAAGTAATCTTCTTATGCTGAATTCGCAGCTAGTTTTATAAGATGGCGCACGGGCTAGCACGAACTGTGGATCTGGTGCCGACAGATAAAAATACATCCTGTGTAGACACTGCATGAACCACGAACCATAAAGTAGATGCCTGGAATGCGCATGTGGAAAAGAGACAGGGAAAAAGTTCGCTCACCTAGGCATTGCACTCAAGGCTCGCATGGTTTGCATATTCGGAAAACTGCTGTCAGGCTGTAGATTTGTCCTAAACAGAGGCCTCCCACTTGCACGCCTGTTAAGTTGCCTTGCAGCAGGAGACTGAAGCGCACTGGTGTTCGCCGCCATTCCACCTCCAAAGGGATAGTCTCTCTTTGTTCCCCGATCCTTTGGGGGGGAGCCGGACGACGGTCTCGCAGTCTCGCCACTGTTGAGCGTCGAGATGCTACGTCGAGTCTTCAGTAAATTACGAGTCCATCCTCCGGCGGTGCCCACCCAGCGAGAAGGCGACATCTTTGTTTGTGGAGCGTTGGCCTCCCCAGGGCGCTGCTTGGGGTGGACTCCCCCGTCCAGCTGGATTCCTGGAAAGTACATTTCCCCGTCTGTGTAATTCTTGGGCTCAGCTGCGATGTCACGGCGGTCTCCGTAGCTGTCTAGATCGGCAAACGCCCCACCCCTCCAATCTGGCGCTGGGCGCAGATGGGTGCAGGCGTTGGGGCTGCAGCCTAACGGGCTCGAACCAGCGCCAATAGTGTTGTGTGCATTCCGTGATCCAAAAACCCACCGGAACAGCGACGAGCTTCCACTGCTCGGGAGGCGCCGGGGAACACTGGTGGAAAAACGCCTCTTTAAGACTTCTGCATCAGCAGAACTGTCTGCGCGTCTTGCTGTCCTGCGAATGGGGCCGCTGCTGGCCATTCTTTCATCAAGTGCATCGCAAGCTCCCCTAACTTTTCTAAGATGCCGGGATCCAGGCATAGACCCTTCTGCACTCACGTAGCCCTCTGGTAAACTGCTGTTAGCGGCTCGTGTACTCCAGGGGCTTGGGAGGAGAGACTTGTTGTTCCGCTTGGGAGGGAATTCGCCAGTGCGGTGGTCGCCCCTACCTTCAGCAACCCACAGGGCATGTTGCAACGCCAGCGGCGTGTCTTCGTCACTCTCGGTGTCTCCCTCTGCCACTGCGTTCAAGTTAGGCGGGCGCCAGCGTGCCCCCTCTGCTTCTGTAACGCCGGTCCTAGAAGACACAGTAGCCTTCCCTGCACTCCTTGTAGCCCCTGTTGCATTTTTCTTTTTTCTGGGTGGGAGTAAACGAAGGCATTCGGCTCCGATGTTTACGTCGAATAAAACCACACTGGCGAGCATCCACGTGCAATTTCTTATGAGTGTAGCCTCAAGTCGCCATAAACCAATGCGAAGTGTATCCTTCAGCTCTTCGCGCTTTCTAGCGTAGCTGCTGCCTGTGGCCACGCTCGTGTAGGTCACCCGTAGAACAGCCTCGAGCCGCACTCCTAGAGCTGCTGCATCAGCCACAACAGCCCTTCGCAGAAGCGTGTCGGAACGCAGTCCATCGCCCGTCAAGTCTAGGCCACGTGGGACACAAGCGTCAGGAGAAAACAACACTGGATAAGGAGGAAAGGCGATTCCAGCATCCCCTCCCGCCATATTTTCGGTGGATGCTGTGCTGTCGATGCTACTCATATCCCTATTGCAGCTCGAGCTGCTGTGCTTGCTAGTGTTGCTGCTGGGGGCTATCTGGCCATGTCTCCGTCTGCTCCTGAAGGATGGAGCTTTCCCATGCTGCTCCTGCGAGCCAACAAACGTGGGATGCGCTGTGCCTTCTATGTCAAGGCCTTCACCAGTGCCGTGGGTTTCAGCACTCTCAGTGTCCTCCGCTAGTGGTGTACCAAGAGCATCATCTGTGAGCAAATTGCAAGTGACGTCTTCTAGCACAAGCTCTAGAGACACCGAGACACCAGAATGTGGCTGACAAGCTTTTCGTTCAGCTGCTGAATTCGCAGGAGCGTCTGCAGCTGATGAGCACGTCTGCTGTTGCTCCTTTTGCTGCTGCTGCTGCTGCTGAACAGAATCAGTGCTGTCCGGAATTGCGTCATTGCGGCAACCAGTGGAGGCAGTGGGTCCAGACCAGCTGGCACTTTCCACGTGGTTGCGTGTGGGCGACACCTCTACAGTGCGGCACTTGTCCTTTGTGGAATGCATGTTTGTCCGTTTGCGCCTTCTGCTTCCCGCAGCGTTACGGCCTGCCTTCCGATGGCCTTCATATGTCGTAGAGCCAGCGCCAATGCTCTCTTCGCCGTCAGAAAAGCCTTCAGGGCCACCTCGCCTGCTAAATGTTGTCCTTGCAAGCTTGCGAAGCTTTCGGTTACCTCGTGATGAGCTACCAGCAGGCCCAACGAAGCTTGTGTCGCTGCTGTCTTCATAGCCCCTGCTGCTGAAAGTGTCAGTCCGCTGTTGCTGAGGAAGACGACGGCTAAGCGTGAACTGTCTCTTCGGTTGCTTCTTGCCTTCGGGATCTGCATAGGCCTGAAGGTTAAGACCCGCTGTCTGTGCCGCCTTCTGGGACCTTACATCTCCGAGCAAGCACGCAATCAGACACTGTGCACGGATAGTCTCCTCGTTCCACAGGCTTTTTAAGCATAACGCCGAATCGGTAAGGCAACAGAGAAGATTTGCAGTGGGGAACGCATGAATAGACTGCAGACAAAGCTGTGCTTCTGTGCTTTTCAGTTCCGGTTGAAGACGGGCAGACAGCGACATCTGGTCGATTCTTTTAGTGCTGCCTCCTTTTCCCAATGTGGCTTGGTGGCCTCCCTCTCTGCCTTTGGCCCTACCCCTCTTGCTAATACCACTATCTTCAAATAGCAGCAGGTTGACAGGGGCCCCTGGAATCCCGAAGCTGCAATCATGCCCGATTGTGGTCTGATGTTCACCAGTTCGGCTGCTTACATCTGCATCAACCTCATCTCTCAACGTCCAGTCCCCAACTACATCTGGGAGCCACGCCGTCTCATCTCCTGCGGTAGCAGATCTTCCGTATCCCCTCTCAGACTCATCAAAAGAGCTTTGAGGAGTCAGGTGGCCCTGAGAAGCATTACTTCCTTCTTCCATTTGACTGTTATCAGCAGCACCAGCCTTCCAGTGCCACGGCAGGCCTCGGTGTTGATGCTGATGCATGCGCTGCACTGCTCCGGCCGCTCGCGTCCTAAGCTGCCGCAGGCTTTCTGGTGTACTTGACTTATCCTGCGACTTTGCATGATCTCCAAGACTTACGTGACCCAGCGATAGCCCAGAGCGGGCGCGGCCGTGAATGCCATGAGAGACAGTTACTAAAGGTGCGCCTTGCTCCTCTTCTGTCTCCTCTAAAAAGTCTGCAGCCTGGCTTCCTAGAAGCATATCTGCTTGGTCTGAGCTATCGGTATACCCAGAGCTTTGTTCCTGCTCAGAATATGAAGCGAATCTGCATATCTTCGTCGAAGTTTCAGGAAATCTTGCTGCGTGGATTTGTTCTCCATGTAACAACGCCTCACTGCCGGAAGCTGCCTCTTCGTCCCTCCTTCTTGCTGAAGCAGGCCGCGCTGGCGGCTCTTGTTCAGCCTTGTGCTTCGGATGCTGCTGCAGAGAGTGACGTAATGGTCGAAGAGAATGTCCGTCATCTGATGGATTTGATGTCCCTGGAGGGCTCGACGAATTTCCAAACCCCCTATTCGTGTCACTCCTTTTCTCCCCCGAGCGTCTGCCTTTCTCGCTTCCTCGGTGAAACCCGCCCAAATCACTGCGTTGTCTGTCCTCAGCGGGGTCTGTCGGAGTTGGAAGCTTCAGAGGTCCCCACATGGACTCTCTCATGTGGGCCTGCGGGGAAGCTTCCCTGCTGGTGCGTCGGCTGTCGCCTGACCATTGCTCCATCTCAGATCGGATAAGAGCAGCTGGGTCGCTTTCTTCTGACCGCGGAGCTGGCGAAGAAGGAACAGCAGTTTCGGGTGAGGGGCAGAAGCGACTGCACTGGGCCCCGACATGAACGACCTTCTTACAGAGCACGATGCTGCGCCTTTGGGTATCTCGCGCCTTGGAGTGTTCGACAAAAAACTCCCCAACTTTGGCCTTCAAACGTACATCCTTCCGTTTTCTCCTCAAGTACACACGCGCTCCATATACCCGCAAGAGCACCGCAAGGTACTGTTGCTGGGTGTAAAGGCCAACACAGAGACAGCCAACTTTTGCGGAAACCTGCATTGACTTTTGACCTGCGTCAGCTACATCTACCGCCGCTTCAGCAGCGCCTTCAGGAGAACTATTGGAGTTAGCGCCCTCAAAATTTTCCCGAAGAAGATCAGACGGTATTTCCCGACCCCTTGCTCTGAGGCGTCTAGCGAGTCGCCATCGCTGGTAAGACTCACTGTTTTCTTGCCCAGGCCCAAGAAATTTGAGAGGCGAAATGTCGCTGGTGAACTTCTGAGATGTCTCCTCGTCATTGAAGAACCAGCTGAGACGACTCCCATCTAGATAAATGCAACAAACAACACAATAGCACAAATAGGTTGGAGTTGAAAGCTGCAAGTATCCTACAGTAATCCCTCTGCACACTTCAGAACACAGTGTCGTCGGGGCGCCCGTACAACAACTCAATAGGCAGCAATTTATGAGTACTAGATCACGACAAACTTCTCAACTCTCGGTCCGAATATGCCTCGTGCGAGTATTCATTTAAGTATGGGTTGCTTACCACATGCAGACCATGGTCCGCTCGTTGGTAGAGGCAAGAAATCCTCAAGGCGTTTCTCCTCTGCTATGCGGAGCCCCTGACCTCTAACGCTAGACGTGTCTTTATTTGCGGGTGACAATGAAAATAGCTTAGTCCCATCGGCATCCATAATATCAGCAGCCGCTGGTGATGCTGAAGCTCCATTTCGTTGTGTGTTCCCTGTATCTCCGTCGGCGCTTGTATCCTGAGCGGCCTGTTGTTCAGGGGGTGTGGTGTCTCGCTTCGGTTGCTGTGTCTGCTGCTCTGAAGACCCATTCTTTGAAAGCTTTGGCATCAACACTTTACGCTGGAGAGAATTAATCTGGGCGAATTTTGCAGTCAGTGGCTTCGTATCTCTCAGCACGTCACTGTAGGGATAGGCGGTGGGCATGAGGAAGCGCCTACAAGCAGCTAGCGAGACAAGCTGTTTACAGAGACCCACGCTTATATGCCCGACGCAGACGTCCACAGTTTGCCGAGGGCACTTGGTCATCCCAACCTGTGACCGTGGAAAACAGCGAGAATCACAGGCAAACGGCAGGCACATCGTGAATAAGGCGAAATACGAAAGAAAGGCTCCACTAACTGGCAACGAAAAACAACTAGTTTAAACTCTTCCGTGTTGTAGCTCAGGGAGAAGTTTCAAAGAAAGAATTTCATCTGTCAGCCCAGTAAAGTTCATCGTAAGGCATTTGCGAAGCACAGTGGCATATGGCCACCTGACTCACTTTGACGCCGCTAACTGAAAGAACTGTGCAGTCTGTGGTAGCGCACAGTGTGCCCGTGGGGCTCGGAGGTTGAGCCATCACTGACGCCTCCGCAGCCTCGACCGAAATATTTAATGAGAGCGACGCAACTGAACCCCTCCGTTTAAGAGTCGTTTGCGTCAGCCTGAAGGTGCTGACACAGCCCTTCAAACCGCAGCAGGAGGAGGTAAAACCATGAGCCTCCACTGGCTCATAGTCCATGTCAGCCAATAACGCCTCCCGTGATCCCATATAACGTGCAGAGCCCAACGCGCAGTTCTCAAAGCACGCCCCCTCATCAGAATCCTCATCACTGCTCTCTGAAGCGTCGATGTGAGAGCTGGGCAGAGCTTGCTTCAGACGCGAGGAGCCACAATCGCCAGCCTGCAGGCCGGCTTCACTAGGAGACGGTGTGAGAAATGAATCAGAAAACGAAAGAGCCTCTGAATGAGGGTCAGTGACTGACTGATTAGATGAGGAGTTCCTCGAATTCAGACGCTTCTGAGCCTCAAAATCTCGCCTTGCATCCATCGGACGTTCACCAATAAAGGCAAGAGGCCTTCCTGTTGCTGTCGCTGCTGCTGTTCGCTCTGCCCAACCCCTTTGGCCCCAGCGTCCTTTAACGATGCTGCTGTTGGACGAACTGCTCCGGCTAGGTGTTTCACTGTCGCTTACGGCCGCTCTGCCCTCCCAAGGGTTACTTCCGAAGCGACCCGTATTTGCAGCTGCTGCTTGGGCTGCCGCTTTCGCTGCTGCTTCAGCTTCAGCCTGTTGGTGCAGCTCCTGCGCCTCAGCCAAGGCATCTCTTCTCAAGTGAGATAGAACGCGTGAATAGTCAAGGGATGACAAACGGTAGACCTGCAGCGGTAAATGCAATGCGCAAAGTGCAGTGTTTGCGAGAACGATGCAAGCTTCTGAGAAAACAAGAAAAGAGCCAGTGCGTCGCATTGGTTAAGTGGCTAACTGTCCTTTAGCGTGTACCATTTGTTAGTAAAGAACAATTCTTGCCCACGGAAGTAGCTGAGAAGAGTTACACTCACCACTGTGGCCTTTTGAGCAGTGAGCCTCAGAGTGTTATCAATGTTCGTGCAGTATCCAAGTGCCAAACCCATGGCATCTTCCGTTGTAGCAGGAAGAAGACAATCGATTTCCCTAAAGAGATCCCAGGTGACAAAATTCATCTGTTTGGGCAAAAGGGGACACCGCATGTGTAAAGGTTTTCAGATGTGGCTTTTCCAGATAATTCCTCCCCTCAGAAAGAACAGCGTCCATGCACGACTCACCGGGATGGCCTCCGCAAATGGAATAAGTTCAGGGGCGGATATTGAAATTTCCGGAATATTAATCCATGTTTTTTTCTTTTCAAGAGGACCTCCGAGCTCCTCATCCCAAACTGTCTTGCTGCTGATGCTAATTAGAAGCGTCCGGTTTTTGTCACCTCCAATGGAGCAGCGTCTCTTCGGACCACTTCGACTCTTGGCGCGTGCCGGTTTTGGAATCTTCTTAACAATATCTGCAAGATGTCTAGCTCTGTCAAAAAAAGAATGGATGTTCGAATAGACCCGAGAGGGACGGATCCTCTGAGTAAGAGACTGTTGGCTAGGAGTAGAGTTATTCCGCTTCCCGTCTTCGGAGTCAGTGTTACTATCAATTAGTACAACGGGTCTACCACCAGCATGGCTCTTGCCTCTGGTTCTTGCCGAATGTAGCGCAGGCTTTGGGGCATCGCTTTTCCTTGTCACACACTTCTTGTAGGCCTCATCTGTTTGAAAGGCTGTAACTGGAGGTTCCGCTCCACGGCCCCTCAAGGGAGAGCGTGCGGGGCCAATCCCCCAACCAATGCGCGATGGCGGATCAGCCGGCAAGTACACACAAGTAGTGCAGCCCATCTCACCTAGTGGGGTAACTGAAACGAGTAGACTAGGGAATGGCGTCTGCAGCAAACACATAGTAGATAAGAAGCTCCAGAAAGTTGCCATTAAAGTCTGTGTTACACCTAGAGCCTCCGACACACTCCAAAATCATAGCTCAGTACTCTGGAAACCCAAACGCCCAGCAGCCAGATGCAAAAATTGGTAGAATGTACCTGTAGCTCAGGATTGTGACGGGCGCGCAGCAAGATTGCTTCTTCGCATGGCGTTGCCTTTAGAGAGGCGAAACATTTTTCGACAAAAACAGAATCAATAAATATATCGTTGCATTTGAAAAAGTCATTCCTTTTTTCCTGACGAAACTTGAAGTCCGCGCAAATGCGGAACATCAAAGTTGTGGATGGCAACATGTCACTACATGGCGCAGCCGCGTCACGCTCCAAGCTCTTCTGCGCCTCTAGTCTCTCCAGCAAGCCCAGCGTCCCTAATCTGCTCATAGTCGGCCTAAGTTTACTCCCCTTCTGCTGCTGCAAGTGTGTAGGCACGGCTACGTGCATGCCCGGTTGAATAAGCGGCAGCAAGCAAATGCACAAATTTGGTGCCAGCACAGCCACGATTCCGTCAATGTAAAACCACCGTTTGCCACCAAAGCCCCCGCGTTCGTCACCTGATGCTTCATCGACAGTGCATGCAATATCTTCATAGAGAAGCCGCTCCTTGTCAGTGAACTCTGCATCGCCCCCGTTTAAGCCATCTGTGCTTGTCTCTGCAGTCTCCCCTGTCGCCCACTGCATGCTTCCCAGCCTTTCAGGCCGACAACACGTCTCAGTGAAGCGGCCGAAGATTTGCTTTTGCAACACCGCAGCGCTTACACCGTCTCGCCAAGTCAGGTTATCTTCTGCCAACTGCAGATCATTCACACAAGTTCACCTCCTGGCAAACGCATGCATCATCACGTGCGTTCATCGAGTTCCTAATTGGACGTTCCCTATCGGTCTAGCAGTTGACGGTCCTTCCTTGGCAGGTGGACGGCCAAGTCTTCGAGACCTGACACCCTTTTGAGCACTGGCAATACCAAAACCACTACAATGCCGAAGGGTCTATACAACACTTGATTCTACTTTAAAGCGCACCTGTCGTAGCTTTACGATTAAGTATAGGGGGCTGCTATGCTCAAAGTCTGAAATGAATCGATCGACAACATCACGCATTTCCGCCTACAGCAAGACAACCGCATCATAACAAGCTCACAAAAAAATATGACCGTGAAAGCCTAATAGCTTGACAGTTTACATGCAAAGGGCTGCAAGGCGTTTATCAAGAAAACACTGAGGGAAAGAGCCAAGACAAATGGTTATCTGTCTCTCGCGTCTGCGGACCTTAGCAGTCAGCCTCCTCTTCCACATCTCCACGTACGCCGCGCACTCCTCCTCCCTCGCAACAAGCCTGAAGGCGCAGTGCAGCACTCCCGGAATAACTAGCTGCTCTTAAGAGATGCTAGTACCTGTGAAACACCTAGATTGAGAACCACAACTAAATTTGCTCCGCAAAAAGCATAAAGCCGTGTGCTTGAATCAAGGAATCGCCAGCCCAACCTTGTCGGTCTTCCTGCGCCCTTCAGGAATATGAACCACACATCCATAAGCTTCACGAAGTTGAAGAGTGAAGTCACGGCAGCCGAGGTAAACGTTAACTGCAGAGGCTTGTGTTCCACACTGCCGTCAAACAACGGAGGAGGGGGCTCCTGTCTTTTAATAGATTCTCCCTTCTGGGACTGTTGCTGCCCTGCCGGGCTGGCTGTCCCTGGGAGGGGAGAATAGAGGCTTGGATCGTGGTGAAGAAAAGACATTTCAACAGTCTTCCAACTTTGCTTATTCACAGCGAGGTTCGATCCCAGAGCTCGCAACTCCCATTTCTTGAATAGGATGTGCACTGCGATGCGACGGCAAGCAATGTCCGAACATGACACAAGCAGGGTCCTGAAGCAGTCTCCTCTTTGACCCGCAGCCATTGTACGAGAGCAAAGTGTCACACACTGTGGTCCTCTATGAGGTAAGCTGTAGTGGAAGCTCAAGACTAATAGCAGCAAACGACTCTGCAAGTGCGTTTGTTAAATGTTCCAAGCTTCTGAATTACCGGTGTTCCACGTACTTTCGATTCCTTTCTTTGGGGTGATGCGCAGTGCATGAGTATTGTCGTCGAGTAGATCTTTTATTTGCGACGGGACAACTTTAAATGCGCGGGCAGCCCTCACGCCGCTTAGGAGCTCTGCATCTGATTCCGACCTGGTGTTGCTGCTCACGTTGGACTCGCTATCTTCTCCTTTACTGCGAAGCGTCTCTGCCGCAACTGCCTTTGCCTTGGCGGCTGCATCAGCCGCAGCTTCAGCCGACGCAGCAGCGGTGGTAGCAGCTGCAGCCGCGTTGCCCAATACTGGTATTGCGCTAGATGGCGAAATTGGGTGCGACACGGCAATAGCTTCACGTCCACTGTGATCTTCGGCGTGTTCGTTTGAATTTAGAAGGGTTTCAGCACTAATAGGAGTTAGTGGCAAGTCGTCAATACGTTGACCGTGTGGGGAAGCCTCCTTTCCTGCACTCATGATTGCAGCACCCAAATTGCCGCATGAATGCCCTTATCAACTAGCGTAGCGAGCAAGCTACTGTGAAATTCCAAAGTATCAATATTCTTCGTATGAAGGTTGCATAATTTTTTTTGCGAAAAGGAGCTTCACAGAAATCAACGAGCTTACCAGACCACCATCCCCACCGAAGAACTCTAGACGCAAGTGATAGAGAGACGTTTCGGTCTTCAATATTCAGGGTTTCCTGTATCTCCTTGCTTAACATGTTTGTGAGGGTCCCAGGGTCAACTCCTGCCAAAGACGCCGTTCCTTGTCTGCTAAGACGTTGCAACTCCGGGAGGAGATTGGAAGAACTCTTCCCAGTCTCTGCAGCCATGCTTGCAGAAGCAGCTGATGTAGCATCTGCTTCCCCTGCCGATCCACCACATGACGAACCATCAACTGCTGAAATTGCGTCCCTTTGCAATAGCTCTGAGAGCAGCTGCTGAGCTTCCTCATCCTTGGGGTTGCGCCGAAGACGGCGACGTAGCTCCCGTGCCTGCAAAGGCACAGGCACTAAAAAACATATGAAGGAATGGCCGCCGCTTATTCTTCACATAAGGCTTCACTGGAAGCATCCATTTCTTGACAAACTCAAGACTTTTCCTTCAACAAGTCCTTCCACTGCCCGCATTCGGCCAGGCTGTAGTGATGCAGGTGACAGTAATAGCGTAAAAACCCAAATATGAAGCTCACTTTATCAATGTTAACGGTTACGCCGGCTTTGCCTTTGAGCTGAGGCCTTGGGAATTCCCTGAACCAAATATGCATTCCTACAAACCGCATCCAAAGGCCCATCAGGAGACACTGCTCCAGGCCTACGAACGCACTCACAGCAACAAGCGAAAGCTTGTACATACAATGGAGTATTTCAACAAGGCTGCACATAATTCATTACTCTTGCTATAAACACATTGTGTCACTGAGGATATTCAAGTACGCAGAAGCTCCTATGCCAACTCGTTACCTGTGGCCTCAATTTCAGAGATACGGGGATCTCCCCGTCTCGGCGAATCGATGCAAAACTCATCAACATGGCACTGCAGCGAAGGCACGAAGGACAAAAAGTGCATCGTCTCTCTTGTAGACAGCGAACGTAATTAGCTGTTTCTCTGTTCTCATGATTCAGTTCTTAATTCGTGAAAGGAAAGTTGGATTTATTTTTTCATATAACAGAATGTGAAGAAACAGTTACGCCAGTTGCAAAACTCATCAACATGGCACTGCAGCGAAGGCACGAAGGACAAAAAGTGCATCGTCTCTCTTGTAGACAGCGAACGTAATTAGCTGTTTCTCTGTTCTCATGATTCAGTTCTTAATTCGTGAAAGGAAAGTTGGATTTATTTTTTCATATAACAGAATGTGAAGAAACAGTTACGCCAGTTGTACGCCTGCATGCCACGAAATTAAGGCGGTGCAGCGAAGTCTGGACAATGTTGGGGGCATCAAAGTCAGGAAACGAATACGAAGCACAAAAATTGACTACTCAGAAAAGCAAAATCAAATGGCAATGCTGGCTGAGACACGGCGTGCGGAACGGCTCCCAGGATATAAGAAACACATGGCTCCCATAAATGCTGAAGTCGCGTCATCGTCGTACCTCAAATGCCCAAGGCGTTGCTCCCAGGTTATCATCAACAATATGTAAATGAATGTTTCGGACTCGAATTGTCAAGGAATTGACAATCCTTGGCTCGATGGTCTGTGCAACAGACGATCTGTCACCTTGCGCAGACCCTAACAAAGAGGCAAACTTCTCCCATAAAGCAGTCCGCTTCAACTTAGCCTTCAGAATCTTATTGCGCCAGAATTCACTGCTCCACTCGCTGGGATACAGCAGCCGGATTCTGGAAAAGAACCATTGAACAGATTACTGGAGTCAACGGTTAAGATCGTGGGAGACAAGAGCAGAAGAAAGGGGCACACGTTTAATTAGCTCCACATCCGTTTGTCTAGCAATCCAATTCTACACTTGAACTGCTGCCTGGGTTGCTTTCAAGGAATGGAAGTTCGGCGGCCATGCAGACGTGCCAGTAATTTCAGCTGTAGGTCACTAGGCAAGCAGCAGATGCTTCAACAGTATCAGCAGCAGCAGCAACAGAATAACGGACGCAATGGCAGGTTTTGCAGCTGTAGCGACTGGGAACAACGTCCCCTTGTGTGTTCTTGCAGCTTACCTTATTTCTAAGTCTTCTGCCTCAATGGCAAAAGGATATGCACCCGGCGTTCCGAAAAATGTCTGCCAAGAAAACTTTGCTCGGACCTAAACGAAAACACGAGCAAACTCATAGCCGTAATCCCTTAAGCCTGAAGCCTTACGCGGAAACTCCATAGACACTGCATAGTATCCGCCTCAGACGCAGCAACTTTAGACATAGCAGTCACCACACCGAAACTCAGGGCCCCGCTAGTGCTGCGTTGGTCACTTTTGCTATATTGGAGTAGTCCACAGCGAACGGAATTTCAGCAAGCTCGAACAGCTGCTGCGGGAACGGAATATTCGTCAGGTGTATCTCTGGATCCGTCAGCGAGTCAATTCTGAAAGGCACCCACATAAAAGTGTACTGGAAGCGCCTTTTCTACATGCGTAGGCACAGAAGTCGCACTGTGTCCTCTTTTGAGACGTACACTCCCTTTAAGGCGCCATGGCCAGCTGCAAAGGACCCCCCCATCATCTCGCATTTAAATGGAAAAATCAGCTGTGCGGCGATGCTATTGTGACACGCGATTCTGAATTTCGTAGCGCAGCTCTATGCGAGTTACACAGTGTATTGCTGTCCTGCACTGATGAAGCGAGCGCACCTAAAGTTGTTAATTGGGTCCCAGTCCCCGAGGAATTCCTTGCCATACGTCTTGATGACTTGGTCCAGGATGTTTGCCAACATTGTTTGTATGCAGAGACCAAGACATGCTTATACAGCGACAGTCAAAAGCAAACTCCGACTCGGTGGTAAATAAGCCGACTGTGTACGGCCGCTGCTGCTGTATGCTGCTAGCGCTGCTGCTGTCCTTGGTGGTATTGCAGTTGACTCAGCGATGGTATACGCCTTTGTGACAGCTTGTGCTACTGCCTCAATTCCTGCTCTGCAGCTGTTGCTGTTGCTAGTGATGGTGCCGCTTCTCCTACTTCTCCGTGTGACAGCTGAACGATCTTCAAGCCCTTGGGTCCTCTGGATGTTTTATGCGCTTCTGGCCACTCCATTCGACACAGCAGCACCAGAGGGCGCCGCTTGTTCTCGCTGTGCGTCCATCCGTTGCTGAAGTAAGCCCCTGCAGCAACGAGACTCAAGAACGGCCCTTTGATTCCCAGAATGCTGGAGCAGTAAGCGCTACCCAGTTGGTAAGCCCCGCTTTCACAATTCTCCTTTATGACTTGCTGTTTCGCAAAAGGTGTTGACAAAGTGTGAGCTGCTTGTGGTGACTTCGAGGCGGGCGGGCGTCGCCCTGAGGCCGAGAGCCGCAACTATGCCCCAAAAGTGGGCGTCTCGGGATAATCCCCGATTTGTATGAGAGTTATGAGTGAGGAAAAGGCGAGACAAACGAGGGCCATCCCCATAGGCTCATTCGGAGCATGGGGAGACAGAGCCAGCGAGTCGTGCTCGGTGGCGCTCGTGGCCGGCCCTCGAAGACGAGGTCTAAAACGCGTCCTTCTGCGGCAACAAAGGACCTAAAGAATACAAATACCTCAAAACTATAAAAACAAAGTGCAGAAGTTCTTCTTAAACCCAGCTCGAGCCCACTTTTCGCCTTGAGCTGCTTAGAGCTCTCTATGGCCCGTTGCCCTTCACCGGCAGCCTCGGGGGCCCCTGTTGAGCCCGTCATCTGCATGACACAAACCCTATTGCTATAGTTTTAAATGACCTGTATGCAATTCTTACGGCTATTCAGCAACGGCTCGGCAATGTTAAGGAAGTCGTAGCATTTTGCGTCGGAGCAACGGCGAGCGGCTTCTGGATCTACACATTAGGTATAATGTGTCACCCCACCATATACTGGTGCTTCCCCATGTTGTTCCGTGCTTATTATTCGACTTGCTTCATTGTTTTCGTGCCCTCTTGCACAATATTAGGTGTGAGAAAGCTTGTGCTAAGGAGGCAGGGGGCAACTAAGGTAACAAATAGGCTAAAAAAGAATGTGGTAATCTGGTACACTCACGAATGTGTGAAGACGCCGTGAGCGGATTGAACTCAAGTCAATAAAAATTTTCACTCTAATGACATAGACAGACCCGTTGTGATGCTACTAATTGGTTGTGATGTGGATGCTGCACATATGTGTAACATTCTGCTTTTGCGATCACTTCAAAATTGTACTGCTCGCAGGCTTTTTCAGTTGTAGCGGTGTAAACGATCCACATTCCATGTTTCAAACAAACCCCACTCCTGAATCAGCTAAGAGAGCTCCTGGAGACAAGCAACTTAAGTAGTGGCAGCACTACGGCCTTGACCAGTGTGTCAGTGGTTAAAGCCGGACACACTATCAGGTGTTCGTACAGCAGCTTTCTACATCGACAGAAGCCCTTATGTATACTCAGTTAAAATTCGCCGACTAAATTCAAGGGAGCAGGGCTCTTGGTAGGAACATAACATAACATTCAGCATATTCGCTGTACTCTCGCCGTATGGTTTCCACAGGCTGTAGGCTTGTTACCGCACGTGTGCCCACCTCTCTTTTAGTGGAGAGGAATAGTGCTAGAATTGTTCCAGGTGCTGCATTCTTAAAGTGCATTTGACCAAGGACAGCAACTACTTATTTCTTAAGGGAAAAGGAATCAGCTAAACTACCGCGGTGCAACTCTGCAACTGTCTCAGCGAGGATATTGGGGCTTTGAAGTTGCGATTCAAGCCCTTTGAACAGCCTCCTAACATTGATGACGATACCCCAGAAGAGCTTCTTGCGGTCACCGAGTGCAATCTTCTGCAAAACCCAAAAGACTTACACCACGCAGCAAGAAGCATCATACAAAAGCGTAACCTCTTTAAAGATCACCACATCCAACGGGCAATTCCGCATACATTCAACAGGTTGTCTGAGTTGTCTGCCTAGTGTACTATGAAGTGTGCATGGGGTTTGGTGCACCAAGATTTCCAATTACCGACCTGCTAAGCGTGTGACGAGCAGGACAAGATGGCGTGGAGTCAGAAAAACAGTGCAGTAACTGGATAGACGAAATTTGCTAAAGAACCTTCAGAGGTGAGAAGCAAAGGGTGCAACTTTGCAAAAAGAATTGAAGGGTGCTACAGGGACGATGTCACAAATGCAGCACAGACCCCTCGCCGCTACCTTGGAACCACGAAGCTCGCCCTGCAGAGCTCCAAATGCCCAACAGGGAAGTCAAACACCCCAAATTGGAGCCGCTATAAGCGCTTACTCAATATTTGGACTGTCTTTTTGCAAGGGTAGTGTTCAAAATGAAGGAAAGCCAGAATAGACCTTGTTTAGCGTCCAGCTCCGCAAGGGTGACACAAACGGCGCATATTTTGCCCACCCTGGACAAAAGCATGACTCGAATAACTACACAAAAGACAGAAGCCAGAATGGGTAGTGGAAAAGGACAGTGCGACCCACTTGTGCAAGGAACGAAAGGCATTTACAGGAAAGGGCTCGCGACCGAAGATGCAATGAGGAGCTACTAGGAACTAAGCCCTCCAACACTCAACACGAAGCCCAGAAAGAAAGAGTGATAGCAAAAGGGTTTCGCCAACGACTGAAAGGCTCGAAACTCTCTCCGGATGCAAGGCAACTTTTGCCAAAGTTTCTACATGTTGCCCAACTTGTATGCGTGGATGCAAGAATATCACAGAAATCGATGGGAGCAAATGAGGCGAGCAGCTCCACATTTCTGCTTTGCTCTTGCGACGCTGTCAAAGAGGGACTTGGATTGTGCTACGGAGGTGTTTCACAATAGGCTGTGCGAAATTCCACAGCAGAAACTGAATGCACTGCTGGTGGCCAACAAAAAGTGCGGACTTCACAGTCCACTCATCGGGGATTTCGATCATATGGTCACTCAGCTGATTGCCTAGACCAATTGTATGATGCACCACGTGGAACTTAACTTGCTACATGGCATGTAAATTGCACTGCTCAGAGATCGCAGAGTACGCCAATCGTCAGTTCAGGAGGCAGCTGCAGCAATAATTGCCGCTTCGTACACGTGGCTTCAGGCCTTGTAAAAGCAGCAGAGGCCTCGTTTGATACTGCAGGATGCGCTGTGGGGTTTGTAAAGGGTGCAAGTTCTGGTCATTGGCCAGATGGGACCAGGAATCTAAGCAGAGGGGGACCGAAAAGCCGCCCGAAGATTCTGGTGGCTTTGGAACGATTCGTATATCCTAATCACTTTCTAAGAAGACTCTAGGCTCAAGGCCAAACTAACTAGAGGAAGTTTTTGCAGTCACTGGCAATGTGAAGGCAAGGATATGGTGTTGGGGAAGACTTGCTTCCTGATCTCGTAAAATCTGCTGAGCTTGTAAACGACAAAAATGATGAATTACTGCTTCACTTCAAAGAAGGCGGGAGTGCCTTCTCTTTAAGAGAAAGGCGGCTGCGAGATCTTCACATGCTTGCAAACCTCGGAGTAGTCAACAGGCCAGCCAGCAGCCGATGCATTCCGGATCACGACCATGCAGGAGCATTATCAAGCCGAACCTGCTTTGTAATGCCTTGTTGAGCAAGCTCCTTGGGTGCTTTTCGAGCAGCACTGTACACCCAACAGAAGTTGGTTTTGATTGGGGTGCTAGAAAGTGACTACTCTTTTGCAGCACAGGCACACTGAAGGAAGTGTGATTCGGGGCCAGCCTGATGCGCAGTTTGCGAGCGGTTGCCAATGATAAAAAATTATTTGTTCCACGTTATTTTAGGCCCTTGTCATTATTTCCGGAGGGCTTCAGTCACGAGAGGAGGGAAAATAACGTGCCTGTGGTGGTTCGCAGGCTGCCGGGGCACCAATCGCTCTACGATGGCGCGTGAGGCAGTCTGGTGTCAAGGTATGCATGGGCGTTGTGCCATCACTCACCAGAAGACAATGAGAGGCTCAAAGATATGAAGGTAGAGCCTGACACAAATATCCATCCATACTAGGAAATGCCACACTTCTATGTAGCGTGGAAAATACTGCTCCAAACGCAAGTGAGCCAAGAGTAACGCAGAAGCTCCGTCGGCTCTCTGCATGAACCTGTTTCCTCCAATTACTATGCTGCCAGACACCAGAATCTCGAAAAGAGCTAAGGAGCAGCGTACGCTCACATCGCGCTAAGCAACAGTGGTGCTGGGGGGGAAACCTACACCTTAAGGCAAAAGCGTTACATGATTTGAGGCCCAAATCTGCGGGGGGATAGATAACAGCGATGAATCTCCAAATATGTACAAAAAAAAAATCAGAAGATCAAAGGGTGGGTGTGTTCCTTTTGGTGAGTGAGCCTACAGGTGTCTACCACGGTGGGTGGACGCCACGAGAGCCAGCCTGTATTCGCTCAGTGTCGCCTGTCACTGCTTTTGGCTTCGATATATTACGAAATTGAAGAAACAGTAGCGGATTCAATAACTTGAGTATCTTTATATTTTCATGACAGTCCTTGATGGCGGGCGTCTTTGGATCCCTTCACAGGCTACGCTGGAGCATCGCCAACAGGTTGATATATTCCTTGCATAGAAGAATATCTACAGTCTCTAAGCTCTGCTCTCCGGCCATAGATATCATTTCCTCTTGCTTTACCCTCAAATTTCAATCTTCATCTCACAAAATTTATACGGAAATTTGCGAGAAACGAATATTACAGTACATTAGCTGCTGCTGGTCTTATGCTCAATCCGTTTGGGGCTGCAGTGCATGCAACCGCTACGGCCAGTTCCACCAGGGAGTTCGTGAAATTTACTGCATCTAAAC